ATATAAATTAAAACTCCAAAACCTTTAAACGTCCAGTAGTAATCAATTTAATAATAAACAAACGTTTTCGACCATACTTTCGGTCTTCGTCAGGTTTAAAAACCAGTTAGATTCGAACCTGTGCAATCGTAGAACAATGATTATGAAATTAATTTTGAAAAATGGAACAGCACAAACGGATTTTAAAAGAATACAGTTATGCACGTGCATTGCCATGGCGACGGAATGGCATATGTAATACATACAATTATATAAATATATATAAATAAATACACCAAACGGGGATGTGGTCTTTAATTGCTGGAGTGGGTGTCGCCTGTTACCTCATAGCAGTATTTCCAAGCGTGGGACACATTGATCGCATCATTAGTGTAAATGCAATTGGTGCGTAACCCAGCTTTGTAAATTTCCAGTGCCTCCAGATTTCATAGGTGTTCCACCTGGTAGGCCAAACTGATCAAACTTTCTCACCAGATGGAACACCTACGAAATCTGGAGGCACTGGAAATTTACAAAGCCGGGTTATGCACCAATTGCATTAACGCTAATGATGCTGTCAATGTGTCGCATGCTTGGAAGTACTGCTATGAGGTAATGGGCGACGCCCACTCCAGCAATTAAAGACCACATCCCTGTTTGGTGTATTTATTTATATATATTTATATAATTGTATGTATTACATATGCCATTCCGTCGCCATGGCAATGCACGTGCATAACTGTATTCTTTTAAAATCCGTTTGTGCTGTTCCATTTTTCAAAATTAATTTCATAAACATTGTTCTATGCTTGCACAGGTTCGAATCTAACTGATTTTAAACCTGATGAAGACCGAGAGTACGGTCGAAAACGTTTGTTTATTATTAAATTGATTACTACTGGACGTTTAAAGGTTTTGGAGTTTTAAGTTATTTCAAAAAAAGAACAAAATACTTTAAATAAATATTTGTTATTGTTTTAATTGCTATTTATTTTTATTTTCATAATAACTGCTATTAATCAAACTTGATTCAACTAACAGCTTAACAGCAATTACAATTTAACAATTACATTTACTAATTATAAGTACATTATTTTCTGCAGAAGGTTTCTCTAACATTTTTCCATATAAAATGTTTCTTGGTATTTAATTCCCAAACTTCACAAAATTACATCTTATAAAATGCTTTTTAGCAAATGCTTATGTAGAAAAAATTTATATTTACATTCAAAAACTCAATACATTTAAACAGAATAATGCATGTGGAAAGTCTTCAGTTATATTTCAAATACAATTGTTAAAATAACAAAATCATGTAAATATTTTGAAAAATACATAATTTTTCTATCTGGGTATTTTGATACTCTTTTGACCAGAATCAGAATTCTCAATACATGGTATACAACATTGTACAAGGTGTTTGAAAAAAAAATTGATGGACAATGAAAAGTATTATATACTTAAAAAAAAAAAAAACAGATAAACATATGATTTTCAGTAATCATCAGTTTTTTCTCACATTATAAAAACTCAAGGCACTACCATTGCTGCAGGTAAAAGTTTTGAATGAAGTTTTTCTTAACCAATGGATGGGTACAATGGCCCAATTTGAATTTCACCCCACTTCCTTGATATAAGTTCTTTAAACTTTTTTTGTGAGGTATGTGGAGGTTTATCAAATACCTGTTCCAGATTTCTTGTAGAAAATTTAAAAGATTAATTTTTAATTTTTTAAATTTTAAACCTGTTCCAGATATTTAGAAATGGGCAGTAGTTTACTAATATAATTAAACTATGTAGTTAAGTGTGTTACAAATGCTGTTCCAATTTAGTAATTAAACTATTAGTTAACTAGATGTTTAGTTTCAGCTACTCTAACTACTTTTTGTTTTAATTCATTATAATGTTGCCTTGGAGTAATCTATTGTATTAAGTATTAAGCAGAGCAAACATATCTCAATCTTTATAAAGGTTTATTCAACTTTGGTCAAAGTCAACAAGTTTGATTCAACTTTTTTACTCATTTTTGAGCAATTGTAGCATTTAAAATTTTAATATTGCCAGTTAATAGAAATTAAATTCAAACAAAAACCTCAATCAGATTTCATTATATTTTGTCCAAACCTGTAAAAAAATACATAACTTGTTACGTAAGCATATTTTTTTTATTTTGTTCTGTATTCAAATCAAGTTATTACTTATAACTCTACTTCCTTTAAATTAGAATGATTAAATAAAAATAAGGAATTTTTATGTAAAATCAGGAATTTGAAAAACAATCATATTAGTTTGAGAATGTTACACAACTACAGGCATGTAAATAATGCATTTTAGAATACAACATTACTCTTGCCGTTAGTGTTGAAGTGGAATGTCTGTTTTCCTAGGTAGGACAAATTTTAACACCCAAACATTGCAAAATATTGGATTAAACATTGAAAACCTTGCACTCTTGATACAATAGTTAAAAAAGAAATAAAAGTGTAAAAGTGCAAGTACAAAATGAAAACAGAACTATTATTTTAATCCAATTTAATTTATTGTTTTTTGTTTGAGTTATTTAAATGTAATTAACTAGTAGTTTCAGCTACTTTTAGCAAAAGAGAGTAATTACATAGTTAAATTAAATTGCCTTTTATACTAGTTAACTACTTTTTATGTAATTAGTGCACATCATTACAAATATTGAAACATTAAAAAGTCACATAATAAATGCAGTTGGAACTGTCATTCAAGACATGTTAGATAACACTTGGAGAGATTGATCATCTTGATATCGTGAGAGTAATAGTGAACATATCAAGATTTATTACAAATGATAAATCTCTTTAAGTTTGCTTACTAATTAGAACAATCTGTGTGGCTATATCTATTTTCCTAAAATAAACTAGTTTTTCTAATCCATCAATTCATCAATCTATAGATTAAACTCATTTTATATTTTAATGTTTACATAGAAGAAAATGACAATTTACCTAAGTTCATTGTGATTATTGTAAACAGCACAATTGATAACTTTGTTTAACTTTAAACATGGTTATTTCTGAACAGTTTAATTTTCACAGTATAAATGTAATATCAGTATTTTTAGATAGAACATTGGGCTTTCAAGAATGAATTATTGACATTAAGCAGAAGATGTCTACATAATAAAAATAATATTTTGATAATATTAGCAAAAATTTTTTAATGTATAATTTTATTAGTATAAAATCAATAATTGATTTTGTATGTAGAAAATCTGCAGTAAAACTGCCAATTTTTCAAGTGAATCATCCAAAAAGATCTTCTTGCATTAAAGCGATATTTTATCTATTTGAAATTGAGTTTTAAAAACTTAAAAGAACAAATTGGTAAAATTTCTCTGCTGGCCTGCATATTTATTCTAAAATACAGTGGATTTATGACCTCAATCATTTTATTGCATCTATCAGTTGTTTTCTTCAGTCCCAAATAAGGACCCATATATAATGTTAATTTTTCCCATATTCTTTGTTCCTGCAATGTTCATTCTGTATTTTAACTGAAATAAAAATATTATCCCGTGTCAATTGTTTTACTCACAATAAAGTGCACTAAACTGAAACACTAATTTTCGTGTACTAAAAATAAAAGCATGTCAAATTTAACAGTTAAACTCTTTGCTACAGCTAACCAGTTTTTATTGTGACTTTTGGCTATTTTTTGTCTATTGCTTTATAAAATACTGTACTTTATTGGTGACATTTCTTCTTAAATCCTGGCAACACTGGTAGAAATTAGCACATTGTCTTGGTATTGCTATCTGTACAATAATTATTACATTTGTACAATTATTTTGGGTGCTGTACGATGCATGATAATGTCTTTATGATAATAGGGTTTTGTATGATAATTTCATAAATAGCCTTACTCTGAAAGCAACCGTTAATTTTTGAAAAAAAAAAAAACAAATCTGCAATCACTATTTTTATACATATTGTCTTTTTGTTGACATTTCTTTTTTTCACCACTAAAAGGCTACTAAATTGTCAGAAGTTTTTAGATTGGCTACTATCATATATTCTTGATTATAAGATGCACCTTTGTCATACTTTTCAAGACTGCTAACTGTTATACTTTTAGACCTAATGATAAAATGCTCAAGTTTATGCAAAAAAAAATGTGTGTGCAAATAAACATTCTGTTGAAATGCCATTATGTTTCTACTTGTACAAAATGTAATAAAATGTATTAATGTAGTACCTATAGAGTAGTTTCCATCTAGAAAACTGTCTAGAACTGAAACTTTTTTGGCATAGAGAGTTGTGACTACTTGAAGAGTAGACTAAAAAATTTTAGACAGTTGCAAAAATTTGGAAAAACTAAGATATAATGCCTAGTAATAAGGCTTATGCATATGAAATAAGTATGGTAAATAAAGGAGTGTGTTACATATTTGTTAATGTTTGATATGTTGAAATTGTATGAAGAAACTTAAATTTTAGCTTAGGCCCATTNTAGACTAAAAAATTTTAGACAGTTGCAAAAATTTGGAAAAACTAAGATATAATGCCTAGTAATAAGGCTTATGCATATGAAATAAGTATGGTAAATAAAGGAGTGTGTTACATATTTGTTAATAATTATTTGTTAATGTTTGATATGTTGAAATTGTATGAAGAAACTTAAATTTTAGCTTAGGCCCATTCAGAGGTTTGTTTTGTATCATATATCACAACTCTCTCTTATAAGAGAGAGTTGTGAAAACTTCATTGTAAAATGAGATTTAAAAATTTTTTTGTTGTAAGAAGGGATTGCATATAAAAAATTCATGAGATTCTGACAAAGAGCAAATCTTGTTAAGATTTCTACAGATAAAAGATGTAAATATAAAGGATTGAGATGAATGTATAATAATTTCAAGAGGCAGATATGATGATTTTCTCTGGTAAGGTCGGCAACCTGCATTGTCTTGAGGAAGGGGAGATCATGCCTGGATATGCAAAAAAGTCAGAACCCTTTTCCTTAAGAGAATCAACACATCCTAAGTAACAAGAATTTATAATTTCACTAACATTTTCAACACTTCTATAGTATCATCTTCATGTGCAAGAAAAGAGTAAATACATTAAGTATTCTTACCAAAAAGAAATAGAATAAATTCCAGTATTCTTAACAATTTTTTAAAATGTAGAATAATCAAATGTCTGTAAGCATGCTCCATATAGTTTAGTATTAGAGAAAGCCATCATATAAGCCTATCACTGAAATATAAGTTAAACAATAAAAACATCAACGTCATAAATTTCCCATGTCAATTGTTTTCCTGTATCAGTCATTTTTTCTAGGGTCTCACCAAAAATAATAGATCAAGAATCCACTGTAATGAAATCTTTGTCATTTTTCAATAAATTAAAAAGGAACATTCTCTCTCTCTATTTAATTAAGATCAGTTTTAAAAATTTTAGTAAATTACACCTTATAAAATTGAAGATAGTAATAAAATAAAAAGAAACTAAAAATAATCAATACTCACTCTAATTGTGATTCCAGTGTATTAATTGTTATTCTAAGTTGACTCATTTGTTCTTCCTATGTAATAAATCAGTCATTAAATCAGACAACAAGTAGATTAAAATGTCTTAAAAAAATACTAACTTTATCCAGTACTTCATGCTGAACAGATAATAAATGCTGACTTTTTTGTTCTGCTAATTGCTGAAACTGACTTTTTTCTTTACTCAAATTTTCAATTTCTGTTTGATATTTGCTGACATCTACATTATACTGTTCTATCATTTCATTTAGATTATCTGTAAATATTAAATTATTATTATTATTGTGTTGGTGAGTGTTTCCTGCACAGAATATAAGTTTATACTAATGATATAATGCCTAGTACTAAGCAGGATCAAAGTCAAGGCATAACTATAGGAAGAAAATGTTTTTTTAATATCTGGTCTGTTGTAATGTATTGTTTTATCTGTGATTATGGCTCCATTACAGTATATTTTGTATGTTATTTTCTATGTCCATCTTAGGTGTGTATTTGTAGTACAGTTCCTGGGTGTGTAGAAGCTTGTGTTTGTGTGCAAACTTTTGATATATTATACTTGCTGTTTGCTTGTTAGTTTGCGTAAAAAGCTTCAACCCTATCTGACATATTGTATAGTCTTGTGCATGATGTGGCATTTCTTATAAATATCACCTGTTGTGTTTTTAAAATGTGCTTTCTGCAGTTTCTTCTATTTATGATCTAGTCTTGTAGGGCAATCATGATCTTTCTTACTCTCCAGAGGCAGCCATGAGTCAAACAGCAATTTGATACAGTTCTGTCAATGTGATCTTGGCTGAGGTCATTTGGATGCTTTCCTTGTAGCAGTTTCTGTGTCAACACTGCCTGATAGTGTCTGTATTTTTTGTGTATTGTGTTAGATTCAAGTCAGTGTTATGTAAGTTTAATGATGTTCTGTTTTTGTCTGCAAGAGTTACAGCTTTGCGTAACTGTGATGTTTCTTGTTTTCTGTAGTAAAATTCTCACAGAATCTGTATTTGTTTGTAGTGTAGATTTAAAGTATCTGTGAGGCCTCATCCTTCCTTTTTATGAGGAAGAATCAGTTTTATGTGGTCAACTTGGGTGCTGTTTATGTTTTGTTAACCCTTCTATGATATATTGTTAGTTCCAATTTAGCTGAAACATATGGAATGATGATATTTCGTCATTTTGAAAAATGTTTAATTTTAATAAAAAAATTCTCTGCATGTGATTTTTATTGCTGTTCACTGCCTTTAAGTTATATATATATATATTTTAAGCCTTACTCTGAAAGCAACCGTTAA